AATGCTAACTGGGTGGTTTTATTTTATAACCGTCGTTGAACAGCCTACTACTAATGTTCAACTCCGTAGCCTGGTAATTTTGAACCCAACCCAGAACACAAGAAAACTCCTGGATCAGGTATTGGGAGAAATTTGCCTTCGTGGAGGACATTTTGATGGAACTAACCCGCATTTGCGTTACATGGAGAGGAAGACAACGAGAACCTCCCACGGTTAGTTAGATGGCGATTGGACTCTAACCCATGATCTGTCTACCACTGAAGACATTTTACGTCAGCACTGTGGTTGTGCAAGCCGGAATTCGTATCGACCAGTAATCGCCGGGATTCGAACCCGGTTCACTTCAAAGGCGAACCCTCTATCCCCTGAGCCATAGCGGCTCTAACTGGGTGGTTTGACGAATTTCGTTCTGAAGATTTTTCTCTGAAAGATAACCAACGTTCTGGACGACCTTCTGAAGTTGATGAAGCCAAAATGAAAGCCACAGCAAAAGCATATACATCTGCAAGAGGTTGCAAAACAATTAAATGTAACATACAATTGAAAACTCATATAAGAAGTCTTTGAGTTATTACATTTTGGAGTTGGATAATTTGATTTGGACGCGCGAATTGAACGAAATTCGCCTTACACAACCAACTATGCCTGCGATAAGCATTGACATTTGTGATACATTCAGTTGACCAAATGATGAAACCTGGTGATGAAAAATATATTGTCTGTAGTAACATTAATAATATTAATAGAGAAGAATCATGGTTGAAACATGATGAACCAGTAAAAACCATGTCTACAGCTGAATTGCTACAGAAAATTTTCATGATGCTGTCAATTTGGTGGGTTACAAAAGTGCTGTGTATTTTGAGCTGTTTCCAATTAGACGAACGATCAATTCAGAGGTTTACCGCCAGCAACTTTCGAACTTAAAAATTGTGTTCTAAAAAGCTGAAAATGAACGACAAATCCAGAAGCTAAGACGAACAATGTTAAATAAGGAAATCTAGTTTTCACTAAATCCAAATATCTCTTTTCACTTTTAAAATCAAAATAGCAAATTGAATAGAAAATTCTGCTTATTCAAGCATAGCAAAACTCCGGTATATTACACGAAAAGCAAAATTCTGTTATTTGTCTACGCTACATAATAGTAATTGGCGTCATAACATGTCATAAACAAAATTTTGATACTTTTAGTTTTTAAAAAAAAATAAATATAGCAATTAGTAAAACAAATAGCAAATTACCGCTACCATTGGTGGCAATCGCACGTGCCATAAAACTAAATCCTGATATCTTTAGATACATTTATATAAAATAAACGTAGCAAATAGAAATAGAAATTCTGTTATTTGTCACCACAGTCATAGTGTCGAGCATGTCAAAAACTAAATCCGAATATCACTAGTTAATTATAAATTAATAGCAAATAGCAAGATGAATAGCAAAATTCTGCTATTCCTCTGCGCCACATCATAGTCATGGATGGAAAACGCATAAAACATGTCATAACCTGAATTTGTACATCTTAAGTTACTTTTCAATCTTGCATAGCATTTTTGAACTAAGTACCGTTTAAAAATCTAATTAACTAAAGTATTTTGTATATTAACAGCATACATTAGTTTTTTCTGCATTATGTATTTTTATTTATTAAACTAGAAAGCAAGCTTTTATATTACTAGAGAAATTTAATTAAACAGTTAATATTTTTGCTAAATATACTTTTAAACTCTCCTAAAACGATAAATCACAGAACAATTAGTGGAGGCTATTAAATCTTTAAAGAATCCATTTTTAAACGTTATTTTAATATTTATCGTGGAATATTACAAGAACCCTATTTATATTGTTTTGACAGGAACTATTAAGGTTTGATTAATTACTTTCAAGTAGGGGGATTTTCTATTTCTATAGCTCTATGAGAACTTAGTTTTATTCTTTAAATAAATCTTTAAATTTTCTGTATAATTGTGTAATTAAAGTTGTGTAAGCGATGAACTTAATTGTTAGTTTATTTTGTTATTGTTTTAAATTATTTATTGTTTTAATATTATGTTATTGTTATTGTTTTCGTAGTAAATACAAAGAATTGTGAGAACTTTTCGAAAATTTTAGTATCAAGAATTGAAGTGAAAATAAAGCTTAATTGAAGAATATAACTTGCATTCGTTCTTTATCCTGATCGCTTCCAACAGCTTTGAACAGTGCGCTAAAAATACCCTGAATAACTTTTGACCTAATGATTTGACTTTCACGTTCAAGGAGTCAAACTTAATAGTTCGAGGGGGTGACTTAAAATCTGCTAATTAGTTAATGTGGACGATATTTTAAGTTACGAAATCAAGAACAAAAACATACTTTCTCTGAATAAACATATCTTTTCTTTCAACGGATTCGGATTTCTGGACCCCAAAATATAGGAGGCACCCTCAATCTGGGAAATATGGTGCCCATAGTTTAGTCAGGAGAGCGATCCGAAGTTTGTATCCCATAATATTAATTTATTTTTTGCTTAATTTGCTGCATCTCGAGAGCTTTTCAAGCGAATTTCTCAGAAACTATTAAACCAGTTTTGAAAAAGTTTTGTATTTTGCCATGTAAAATTATATACTTTATTGAAATTGTATTGCGGTTAACTAATGTTACTTGAGGGGGAATTAAGAATTAAAATTGCGTTTTATTTGCTTGTTCTTTCTTTAAACAAACTTTTTAGACGCACTATTTTGCATACTATAAAATTTTAATATCCAAACATTTTAAACTCTAAAACTGTGAAATCCATCCTAGAAAAAAGTTTGGGGGTGCGAACCACCTGCTTTTAAAATCAAATGTGGAAATGAATATTAAAAACATAAATTAAAAAGTTAAACTCTAGTAGGACTAAGTCGGACTCTCAGAAAAACTGGTTTATTCATAGAATCATAATCTCGGTGCCTTGTACAATAATATTCTTTAAACATTCTGCATATGGTAGTACATTGAACCAAGTTTCCGTATCAGTTGAACCATAAGAAGTTAAAACGATATTATGGTTCAATACGCTCAAAAGCTTCTAACATGTAGTTTTTATAAAATGAATTTTTGGGGATAATATAAAGTTTCATTAAAAACATCACTTAAAAATCACAAATGTTAAAATCTCTATTTAAACATATGCATGTTACTGTGTCGCATTGATATGCCTTAATCAGTAGAATAAATCACTTGGACGGTGAAATGATGATATAAATTCAACAGGAGTTACTGCCTGCTAAAGAGATATATTATACAGTAAGGGATTATACAGATAAATGTCAAACATTAAATTTAGAGTAAGAGGTGGAAATTAAAAAATGCACTGTTAAATGCTAAACATTAATAGTAAGTGTAGGAAATGATAAAATTGCACAGTTGAATGTTAAACATTAAATTGGCAGTAAGTGTAGGAAATTAAAAAAATGTACATATATCTATTTCTTCTGATACATCCTTTCTCAGATTAAGTCATTACTATATCATCTTATTTGTCATTTATCATACTAATGAAGGTGTACCAATGTTACAGGTTTTAATAAACGTTTGAACGTTTGTGATTTTTAAGCGCAGTTTTTAATAAAATTTTAGAGTAGCATTTGGCAATCTTTAAAAAAAATTTTCTTAAATACTTATTATGTAAATGCTTACAAATATCGCAAGAAGCTAATCCTTTGTCGAAATAATAACTTATCTTCTATTAATAGATAAATCTTAGAATTTGCTTTTTTTTAAAACAAAAAATTAAGATTTATTTTTCAAGTGGTAATAGGAGATACAGTGCAAAATGCTGCAACTTCGTTACTTTTCCAGTCACGTGTGATGAAATGCCATCTTAGGCTCATTTGCATTCGAAGAAAACTGCATGGAAGAAAAAGGTTTCTTTTTTCCGAAGGAAAAATATAAGCTTCTTTGGTTACAGATCATGATGCATAAAGCTTTTATTTTATTTTTTATTATCTAGAGATAAATCATCGCGGAGAATTTTTTTTCAATTTATAACAAAAGCTTTTTCGTAGCAATTGAGTAGATTTCCTTTTTTTTTGAAAATTTAATACAATGTACCAATTAGGCTATAAAAGGAGTAAACTTTTAAGATACAAGTACGTGTTGTAAAAGTTAATTATTTTTTTATAGCTCTATTCTGTAAGAGTACTATAATTCTAAAAGGCTACGGTATAAGCATTGGATTATTGATTTATATTTCTAATCATATTTAAATGACTAGTAATGCTATTGAATCTTTGTTATTTTCAACGAAAGAATCATTTCGAATAACTGATGAATCTTTTCGAATTCAAAGGGGACAAAGAGATTTTTACGAGTGCTCTTCGAAGTATTGATTAAAAATCCCTATGCGTTTTAAATCTGCAGTACAACATTAATATTAAACTGCATATTATTGTGTTCAAAAGAAACAATTCGAATTTAAAATAGACAAATGTTTAATGTTAAAATAGACAAATATTAATTGAAATATGCAAAGGTGAAGAGATTTTCGATCCAGATGACAATTATTCACCCAATTTATTGATTTTAAATTTTTATAAATTAAGTATATAAATAATTATAAAAATTTAAAACTTGTATAAACTCTTGCGTCAATTAATAATTTAGATACTGTAAAATAAAAGGTAAGTTTACAGTGTAAAAGTTATATTTTAAAAATATTATAAAGTGAGATCACAGTCGCTTTTCATTTAAAAAAAAAAAAAATTGTTTTTCTTCATGTTAACATTTTGCATCATTTTTACTGACTAAAATTAAATAAAGCCTTTTCTAACAATCATGAATAACTGCTAAATATTCACAAAAGTTATAAAACAGCTCATTATTCCCTAAAAAAAACTTAAATTTATGTGCCGAAAGAGTCCTCGAAGCTTTAAGTAACTTTTAATTGAAATTGGCGGAACCGAAGCTTGTTTTTTCCTAAACGACTCGTCTGTATTATAAATATTAAAAAAAATTGTAATCTGTAAAAAAAATACTTTCATGTATCTTAACACCAAAAATGTTGGCAACTCCTTTACACTGAAGTGATGTTTCAGTGAGTGTTCCACTACACCAAAACCAAGCTTAGTTCCTGGTGCAGTGAAGCACCAAGAATATTTTACTCTACTTGTAGCTATAATCATGTATGTTGAGTAACCCTAAAATGTATTACAGTAATATATAATACTAATAAAAATTGGTCACGATACTTTAGCGATAAAACCTAAAGCAATATAATAATTTTAGGCTTCATATATACAGTATTTATCATTTTGTATGTTAGTATGTATTAGTAGTTATACAATCAATTAGAATGTTAATCAAACATACACACTGCACAGATAGAGTATTGATATGAACTCGAACAAAAAGAAAATGAATAGACTCTAAATAATATAAAATTATTTAATGCCATTGACAGATCATTTTTTTAACCATTTAAATAAATCTGATGAGACAAAAATTAAAAACGTACATGCATTTTAAAACTGTTTTTATGATCAGTTTGTCACAATTAAAAAGATTGATATCATTTGGTAAATAATCTACCAGAATTAATATTTTCAACTAATCAGTAAAAAGGATTGACATTTATTTGGTTTTAAATAAGCTATGACCAATTTGTCAATGAAATCTGGCAAAGGAAAACTCAAATTTCGTCAGTACACTACATGTAAACAAGCCGCCATATTATCACTTTCTTGAAATTGCACAAATTTAATAATGTTTCAAAAAGCATTTTTGTGAGTTTAAAACGTGCCCTGACACCCGGTGGCTGAGTGGTACCTCTTTGCTCTTTGGTGCCACTGGTCCTGGATTCGATCCTCGGGCCAGGCAAGGCTGACTCAGCCTTTCATCCCAAGATAAAATGAGTGGGTTCATAAAATGAGTACCAAGTATGCTTGAGAACTGAATACTGGGGTTTCCGCTTTCGGCTGACCACCCAAATGGAACATCTTCTCCTGCTCCCCAGAGTCTAAGGTCAAGAAAACTGAGCTGGACACAGTAGGCCTAAGCCCTCTATGGGCTGTCTCACCATTGAATTAAGTTTAAAACGTGCCTTGCCCTTATTTCACACAAGAATATAAATAGTTTAAATATGCACTAATTATTAACCAAATTTACAGACCTTCCAAAAAATAATACCTTCTTCGCTAATGAGCAGTAGATTAGAGTAAGCTTTGTCAATTACTGGTGTTAACATTTAACTTAACTGTTTGAAGTGAGTTAAATGTTAATATTTTACAGAGTGTATTTTCACATTAAAATAATTATAATTATAAATTATTTTTCAAATTTTGAATGGATTGAAACTTATTAAATTAATAGATTAATCTATATGTAATGTAGAATTAAAACATTTTCAGAAAAAGGATCCTAAATGTTTATATAAATCAGTCACAATGTTTATTTTTTCTAATATATCTAGTCTTTAAATTAAGTAACGAATTTTAATCAAAATAGAAGCGTTTATAATAATTAGCGTAATCAGTTAAAAATAACAAATGGTTTTTTTTTAATAAAAATAAAGTTGGAAAAAACTGTTTAAATTTATTTTCTCCGCTTACGGATTTTTTTTTAATTTTTTGTCAGAGTATGAATTCCATTTTCTAAATAAATTGAGCGATACAGGAACAGAGTTTTACCCTAATTTAATTTCTATAATAAAAAATGACATTAATATGATCAGGAGAGAGAATATTTCTTTCATCAATCACTATTAAAATATCCCAAATGCTTCCCCAAAGTATGTTAAAAAGATTACAATTTTGAGTAATGCGTCTGCAAAAAAGTAATATTTTCATTCCCATTCTTTATGTTTACTTTTCAAAAATGAAATAAAACAACAACACAATGTTTTACGTACGATGTTTCCCTTTCTTTAAATGCTATTATTTGTTTATTTATTTTTTTTCCCTTTCATTTTTGTTGTCTGAGCCGAATGCATCCCCTGTCTTCGTCTGACTTGGCCCCGTTTCAAGAAGTTTCCTCTGTTTTGCATGTGATACGAGTATTTGCTCTAAGAAAGGGAGTAAAAAACTCCATGGAACTGGTAGTAAACGGCAAAAGAAAGTTGTGGTCATTTTTCAAAAGATAAAATGGCACAAGTTTACGTTGCGTTTGTTGGAAGTTTTTATTTAGAATCTAAATCGGCAGCAATGCTTCTGTGTCATAAAATTCTAAGATTGCATTTTTTTTTTCATTTTAAAGAATGCACAAGAATGAATAAAGTGTTCTTTTAAATCTGAAAATATTGTTCGAAAGACTCTCCGTAAAAGTTTTTTTATTTAAAAACTTATGAATTGTACTTTCTTCTTAAAGCATAAACATTTTTAGTGCAAAACTGTTATCAAACATTTTTCAGAATTTTTTTTAAAACTTTTTACTTGTTGTAGGTCGGGATTTGGAATATTTTTAAACACATTTAAAAATCTGAATTTAATTTTAAGGTTTTTTTTTATCGTATATTTTTTAAAAGCCTTTTGTGAATGTGTATATTTTACAGGCATTGTAGTGATGTCAAGAGCTAAAAATTTGTTTTTATTAAAATAGTTTAGTTCTATGTAAGAAATCGCTACATTAAATTTTTTGAAAACGATTAATTTATTTGTTTATTTATTTATTGAAACATTTGTCAAAACTCAGAATCTAATCAGTAAATTTTCTTATCATTTCTTTAAAAGCTTTTTCCCTTGCGAATTATTAAAAAGTTACTTTAATGGTTTAATTGTTTAATCTTATAACTGTTCTAATAATGTCATGTAGTACGCCTTCTTTTATTTTACACTTAATCATGACAACAACTTAACAATCAAGTGCTGTACCAGTAAGTGTTTGATTTCACTAAGAACCGAGGAAAGTTCCTGTTGTTGATAAAATCTAAGAATGTTATTTTGCACTACTGGGTGTAAAGTACCTACCACTATATTTTATATTCAGTAGCACGTAACATTAAAAGTTAATATTACAGTAAGAAAAGATACAAATAAGATTCAGAAAAATTACTTTTTCCATGCAATGTAAAGTTTAAATGGATATATACAGTAAATCATGAAATTAGTTTTGTATATCAAGCATAAGCTTACCACAAAAAGAATATTAAGAACTCGAACTAGGCTTAGAAGAACCGTAGTGAATAGAAATTATGTTTTATAAACTTATTTAATACAACTCACAGAGATTTAAAATTTGAAGTATAAATAACCTCATTACACAACAAAAACACACAGCGTGCTTGGATTGTGAAGAGATCCGAAAGAAACTTTTCAAACGGTGCCGAGCTGCATGCAATCAGGAATAAATGACTATTACGGAGACCATTAACATAACTGTCAACTCTTCCGGTTTTACCGGGAAAATTTATTTTCGTAGTCAAAAGTGATAGCAAAATTTATTCTTTGACATTTCATTTTTAAAAAAATAAATTTTATTGTTTGACCTCTATTATGCATGAATAATTTTAACTTATTCATAAAAAGCTTTAAAGCAGTTTTCTGCAAATTTTAGATACTGTTAAAATTTAAAAAAAAAATTGATTTCGTTTGAAATTATCAATGTAGTTTGTTCACTACCGTTATGAAAATTTTTCCTCCAAAAGGGCAGATACAAGTTTTCGAAGATTATAAGAAAAAAAGAAAAATTCATTTATTATATAATTAAATTAATATAATTAAATATATCTTAATGAAAATTTCAAAGACTTATACATAGCCTCTTTTTTAAATAACTACGATATTTATTGTAAATAAATAAATATTTCTTCGATTTAAGTAGTGTCTATTGGATTAATTACCCTAAGTAATTCATGAAACGAAATAACACATGAAGTAAAAAAAATTAAATCAAGTGGCCCAAGTATAACCTTCACAATAATTTTTTTCCCTTTACGATTTGCAAAAACTAAATGTCAAAAATTATTAATTTCTAATTTACAAAAAGCCGAATATTAAAGACTTTAAATGGATATACCACTTAAAAAAAGCGTAATTTATTCATTTCTTTCAAATAAATATTTTTTTTTAAATGTATGAATATATATACTCCCTGATAACGCTTAAAGAATTTCTGCATTTAACGAGCTGGCATTCTTTAAGCAAAGAAGGAATTACTTTAAATACTTAATTGCTGTTGCATTTAAGGAAAATCCTAAAGAGTAGAAAATTAAGGTTAATGCGCCTTATTTGATTATTTTCTTATCTTTAAGAGGGCGTCAAGAAGTCTGCATTTTAGCTTTTAAGGGAAATTAATATTCACGGTATTTTTTTTTATAGATATTTTAATGGCAGTGCAAAGAATTAGTTAAAAGAGAGATACTAACAATAAATGCAATAAGTGCTTCAGTTGATCAAAATGAAGAGATTAAATTTTTCCCCTTCAATGCAGAAATCCTTTTTCTTATCTCTTAAGACATGTAAAAATAAATCCTATGCTTTAGATAAAAATCCTAGCACAAAATCTATTGGAAAAATAACCTTTTTTTTTAGTTGTTAATTTATGATTATTATTTATCATTCTGTTTCTGATTTTATTGAAAGTAAAAGCGAAATGGTTTTTACGGACGGCTTTAAAAAGTCTGCTTTTTAGTTTTTCTTTATATGAAATTTAATTTTTATGATATATTTTAATTGTTTCAATAGGTTTCGTTGAAAAAAATGTGCTAGTACTAACGGCGAGATAATTTATAAATAACTCCTTAGATTTAAATTTATATGAAGCAATTTTTTTTTTCATTGCCCATATACCGATTTTCTATTCCGAACTTTTACCGACTTTTTAGAAATCCGAAAGTAAAATTGCTGTTTTTCTATTATTCGCATTATTGCGATTTTCGATATAAATTTTCATCATTATTTATAACTTCATATAAATTTGTAGTTTTCTTATCATGAAATTTTTTACTGTGCAAATTAATTTTTGGGGGTTGATAAAAGAGTCAAATACAGTTATAACTTTTAAAATTAAATTATATCACAATATAAAAGGGTATTTTACAATAATTTCATTTATGATAATTGATATTTTGTATAATTCAGACTGAATTTTTAAAAAGCAGTAAAAAAACTATGTATCTTAAATATTTCCTTGAACATTAACGAAAATTTGTTTTCCACAAATTTTGGCTACAATCATTTATTTTTTATTAGAGCTATGTGTCATA